GGGTACACATAAAAGTTTGGCCACAAAACTCCCCCGACAAGTTCGACTTCGTCTTCCACGTCCACCGGCTTTCTTCTTCGCCCCTTGTTAAGGGGTTACGCCCACCTTGACGACCATAAAACAAAGGGTATATTTACGAATTTTTTTACAACGATACGCCCCGACGAAATGAATTTTTTTTACTGGTAATAAAATTTACAATAAACGGAAACCGTGAATCGGAAGGCAAACGAGAAGTTGGAAAATTTGAGTTTTTAATTATTATTATATCGAGTATAATATTATAGAAACGAGCTAACAAAACACGTTTTTATTTGTAATTAGAGCACGCTTATCTTTTGTATCAAGATTCACGTTAATTTCTTTTATTCTTATTCATAGAGTAGATAGTTAAGTTTTGAATTTGTAATATTATCTATATATTTATATTATATATCGTGAATATCGGGACGATCGTGAGATGTGAAGAAAAGCAGTGGAAAATTAATAAATGACTTATTTTCATTCTGGAGCTGACTCCAACTTAAGAGTCGAAATGTTTAAATTGAATTTAAATTTAAAATGTAATTTTCTCGTTTGCAACAAGACTTCATGGTAAATCTGTCTTCGGTTTTTATTTATTTATTTACAGAAAGAAGATATAAGGGCAGTAATTAAATTGAAATTGAAATTAAAATTAAATTAAATATGATTATATTTATTACAACTCCTCAGCTAAGTCATTGTCGCTTTCGATCGAACGTATTTTAATATAATCCAGAAAAGAGAGTCGTTACAATTTCTAACATTTCAACGTTAAGATTAATGCTGCAATTTTCAACTAAATATACCTCTTTCATGTATGATATCTCAAGAACATATAAATTTTCCTCGATTAAACTTCAACATTTCCCCTTTTAGTCTGCAGATGGCTGTTAACTAAGTTCTTACTTGTTCCTAAGTTTGATCCAAACGTTCCACATATAGAAGATTGTTTCCAACTTGCAGTCGTGTCTAAGACAAAATTTTCCATAATGGCTTTACCGAAGAGTCCACTAATAAATTCAAAATGAAACGTCATACTTCTTGTTCTCGTCGCTACGCAAAGCTTTTATTCACGATTATTCATTCCTTAAATTACAGATTCATAGACAGAAAGTCGATCAATATAATGATTGTCATTTTCTAAGTTTGTTTCTTTTACTTCCCTTTAATTAAACTTTCCCTTTTAGCCACTATATGGCTGTTAATTAAGTTCTTGCTGGTTGCTGAGTTTATTCCGAAGACTCTGCGTATTGGAGACTGTTCCCAACTTGTAACCGTATCCAAAGGTGTGTTGAAATAGCCTTCCCTATGAGTCCACCAGAGCTGAACTTCCGAAACTGTAGTTCTAAAACCACGTTCGCGTTGAGATTCTTTGGGGTCGCGGAAAATTTAAAAAATCATGAACCACGTTTCCCATTTATCAAAGAATAATATCCCACGAAAATTTGCGAAGTCACAAGCGTTTAAATTGCATTGTAAAAACAAAATTAAACATCTCCAAATATCCACATTCATGAGTTCGTGGCGCGTTTGAAAAATGATAAAAGAAAGTAAATATTGTCTTTGTTGGTTTAAACGCGTGCAATTTTTAAGTGGCCCCTAAATGCAATCCGGACGACACTTTAACATGTTGACTTAAATTGCTCTTATTTTTAGACAATTGGAAACTACAAAAATTCGTCATAAAACTTACTTTTTACAAATTAAAATTCAAGAGTCCTATCTAGATTTATTTTTTGTAGCATCTAATCTTCAAAATTAATATTTTTATTGAACCCATATATGGGTGACGTATGAATCAATGTGTTAAAAATCCATGACTAATATACTCTTTACTCGCCTACGAAATGTTCGAAGAAATCGTTTCACTAACGATGCACAAACCACACAAAAGAAATAATTCTTTCTCTAATTTTTGGAGAGGAATATTTCTAGGATGAAGAACGAACGATGGTTCCCGTAAAATCGTATCGCGGAGACGCGCTAAAAACAATCGCGGGAAAAGCCTACGGGATGAAAGTTTCGCGAACGAGTTCGATGAAACGGGATCCATCCACGCTTCCGTTTCCTTTCTTTTCTGTTCGAGTAACCCGAGCGGGCATCCCTTACCTCGGCTGGCTCCTTTCGCGTTTGATTTCGTTCGGTTCGTCCGCGTTTCGAAAGGAAGTTTCGCAAAGTGGATGGCCGGATCGCGTGTACTAATTTTATTAACCAAGAAATAACATCGATAGGATCTCGGTCGGCGCTCTTCTATTAACAGCGAGTGCTTAGATACATTGGAAATCATTGGATCATCCCCTAAGTGATGTGGGTTTTAACACGTTCGCTGCGGTACGAGACACACGCTCCCAGGGTCGTATTTCGTTCCGTGCTGGCCATACTTCATCGAAGCTTCGTTGCATGCTAAGAGAATACCGTCATAAATCTTCTACTGCTTCTTATCGATCGTTAGAAATTGTGAAATTCTTATGTGCTCCATCAGGCACGCGAGACGACGCGTAAAGAACAACGAAAACGAATCAATTCGTGAAATAGAGAGTATTTCAACCCTTTGTGCTCCAAAAGTCTTTATTAACCCCTTGTCTCATATATTAAAATCATATTCGTAAAATAAATCTATTCTTTTTCTCGTACGAACAAATTTAAACCAAATTAAATAGTATACGTTTAAAAAATTATTTGGAATTAAATCGTACATTAAGGGGATAAGCAACTACCAATTGCAATTTTATGATGTGAGTTTTGAAAATAGGAAAATGTTCTTTCACAAAAATGTATACATAATTTAAATTTTATTCGTATAATAATAAACTTGAATCTATTATGTTTGTCGCCAGTGGAATGCAAAGGGCTAACACGTTGAGAGTTAATAGTTCAATGGTGTGCTTATTACTTTTCTGTGTGGTATGACAAATTTAAGAATATGTATATTAAATCGTCCCATGGTTTCGTGCCATTCAATATTTTCAAATTGACAACGATACAATTTGCAATTTAGTAGAAAACAAATAAAATTTGTCAGGTCGAGGAATTCTCGATATTTGAACATACCAACAACAATTTATAAATATTTGAAACGAAGAAATATCGTGTCGAAACTCGAAGTACGGAATAATATAGTTTCATTAAAAAAAATAGACGTTATATTAAAAAGTGGAATATCACTCTCTAAACGCACCTGTCTGACCATACACGCTATTTCTACTTAATTTTACACATGCCTAACAAAAAGTTGCGTACCAACATCAACGATCCATAGAAATTTGAAACGAAGAAATATCGTGTCAAAGCTCGAAATATGGAATAATATAGCTTCATTAAAAAAAATAGACGTTATATTAAAAAGTGAAATACAAATTGCCTAACGCGTCTGTCTGACTATACACGCTACTTCTACTTAATTTCACGCGTGCCTGCCTCGAGAACATTCAATTTTCTCGAAAACATCTTGCATGAAAAAACTTTAATTCTACGTGCTTGACTTACTTCTTTTGCGTTGGATTACTCCCATTGTGGTTGTATAATTTATTTATAAAATTTTCTTTTTAAATTATGCATTGAATCAGAGTTGGATGAATTGAACCACCAAGCAACGAATAAGAATTTCAGAACCAGACCTGGGCAAATTTAATTTGAAATTAAAATAACAATAACTATCGGTTATTATTTATTTTCAACCGCGATTTGAAAATAAAAGCAATAGCGATTCATTCGAAATAAAATAGCTAAAAGAAATTACCAAACATAATAACACTGCCATTCGAAATAATATTAGGTTGGAGAAAATGAAATCCGTTATTTTTCATTTAGATGGCTCTAGTGATATATATCTCGTGAAGTATTGACCAAACAAATTGAGACTTGTTTGTGGTCGTTGGAAAAGTGGAATTTCGTACTAAAAAAAAATTCTTTTAGTTTTTTGGTTGGTCGATTCAGTTGTGAGTTTCACGGCGTAAAAAATGGAAGTTAATAAAGATAGAATTCAGTATATTTTACAAATTTGATTTAATGAGAGCGAAAATGCAAGCCAAAAGGCTGAAATTGTGAATGGTGTTTATGGTTCCGATACTGTCACAGCCAATGTCGAAAATATCGATAAAATTATGGAAATGATCGAAGTAGACCGCAGTGTTAGCAGTCGTAGCACCGCCCAGAAGCTAAACATCGACCACAAAACAGTTTTAAACCATTTGCATAAAGCTGGATTCAAAAAGAAGCTCGATGTTTGGGTGGCACACGAATCGATGGATCGAATTTCCATCTGCGAAGCCTTAGCCAAACAGAACGAAATCGAATGGCAACAAATTATAAAACAAAACGGTACACATTTCACCCAAGTCGGACAATCCGAACCATGTTAAATAAAGTCTTGAAATAAACGTGAAAATAATTGATTTATATTCCCCCAACCTAATACTTCAAATAATATTGTTTCTAGAGTGCCCAAGGATCCAAACTAGCTTTCGTTAAAGTCCTTCGACGAATCTTGCACAAGTAAAACCGCCCGAAAAAGCCCAGTTCGCGACTACCAAAGTTTATGTTCGTCGTTCGGGGATAAAACACGGAGAACGAACGATCCAATAAACAATGCCACGCGCGATTTATTACATTAAGGTTTTCGAAGCACACAATATTTTCTGGGACACGAGGACGGAACGGACGAGCCCTGTACACCATCGCGTATTATTCTGAGTCGACGGCGCGTAATTCTGCACGCAGCTAGATTTTTCAAAGGACAATAACGCCGTCGCGCGGGTCCGCGTCGGTTCCGCGTCGTTCTGGCGTCGCGCCAGCGTCGACCGCGTAATTCTAGGCGGTTAATCGGTAGACAGCCGGGAATCCGCGGGAATTCGCGGGAGGCTCGCCGTGCGAGCGCGCGCGGAATCGTCGCCAGGCCAGCCGGACGACGTTTCGCCGCGCGATGTTTCCACCGAGTTAATTTGCGTATCCAGCAGCCCCCTGCGTTTGTGTTTCAGACAATGGACCGCCCGTCGAGCAGAGCGACGACGGATGGCTGAACTTCACAAAAATCACCCGCGCCGAGAGCGGCTGGTACAAATGCTACACCAGACACATGCTCGGAATTTTCACCAGCATCGGTTATTTTCTCAACGTCCGCTGTGAGTAGATCGTTACGTTCAATCGACCCTGCCGCGGCCTCGTTTTAACCCTTCCGTTCCTATCGGGACCGAATATTCCGCCAGAGAGCGGGAATAATAGTCACGAAATTTCACCCATTAAAAAATACACTCTCTGACCATTTCGCCTACGGTGGACTCGCGATAAATTGTGATCGAGCAATCTTTGAAGGTAAATACATGGATGAAGAGGGTTTTCAGTAATTAACCCCTTGCCACACAATGACTTGTCTGACTTATCACAAGTTCTTGATGTCAAGTTTACACAATTATGAGGCTACTGGTCATCGAGTCTTGTACATTAAAATCAACATACTTTTACAGTCATGAGATATTCGTAAAGCAAGTCTATTCTTTTGCGTGGTTATTCCTCGTAGGAACAGATTTAAACAAAATTAAATAGCATACATTTGTATTATATATAGTCTCGAAATTTCACCCATTAAAAAATACACTCTCTGACCATTTCGCCTACGGTGGACTCGCGATAAATTGTGATCGAGCAATCTTTGAAGGTAAATACATGGATGACGAGGGTTTTCAGTAATTAACCCCTTGCCACACAATGACTTGTCTGACTTATCACAAGTTCTTGATGTCAAGTTTACACAATTATGAGGCTACTGGTCATCGAGTCTTGTATATTAAAATCAACATACTTTTACACTCACGAGGTGTTCGTAAAGTCAATCTATTCTTTTTCGTGGTCATTCCTTGTAGGAACAGATTTAAACAAAATTAAAAGTATACGTTTGTATTATATATAGTCTCGCAATTTCATCCACTCAAAAATACACTCTCTGACCATTTCGCCTACGGTGGACTCGCGATAAATTGTGATCGAGCAATCTTTGAAGGTAAATACATGGATGACGAGGGTTTTCAGTAATTAACCCCTTGCCACACAATGACTTGTCTGACTTATCACAAGTTCTTGATGTCAAGTTTACACAATTATGAGGCTACTGGTCATCGAGTCTTGTATATTAAAATCAACATACTTTTACACTCACGAGGTGTTCGTAAAGTCAATCTATTCTTTTTCGTGGTCATTCCTTGTAGGAACAGATTTAAACAAAATTAAAAGTATACGTTTGTATTATATATAGTCTCGCAATTTCATCCACTCAAAAATACACTTTCTGACCATTTCGTTACTGTAGACTCGCGATAAATTGTGATCGAATAATCTTTGAAGTCAAATACAGATCGTATTTTATTTAATTCTTGACTGCCACACCATACGTGGATGACGAGGCTTTTCAGTAATCAATTCTCGCGTTGAAATTTTAAAGGAAATCAATTTGAATAGTCAATGGTAAAACCCTCAAACTAAACTCAATTTTGGACGTATCAATAGATAGGCACTACAATGATAACTTTTTTTAAATATTAATTCACTACCCCTAGTTTTATTAGGGTACTTACAAGACAAAACGTAATGTGGCGCTGCTTTGCTGCGTGTAGGAACTCGAAAAATTCGTAGAAGGACTGAAAAGAAAAAGAGGGGCCTGCTAGTGGACTCATCACTAAAGATTTCTAGCTGGCCCTACCTTGCACGACTGGGATATTAGACAGTCAGTCGAGGAATGTATAGCAACCGAGGGGTCGGCCGAGCGCTTGTGAGAGCGCGGCCCCTCTGGTGGCGAGCATGGGAGGCGACGCCACAGTAATTTACGTAACTTAGTTTGAGCTTCATTTCTTTTGTTGTGTGAAATAAAAAATTATGAAAAAAATCATAGACATTCTACCCGAAGGCTTACACGTTTCTGAATTTTTTCAGAATTTTTGATCGTAACACAGAACTTTAAACTATTTAAAAAGTTTAAATATACCACATGAAAATTTCATATTAATGTTATCGAGCGACCACGTTTATATTTTTACAGTTTTTGGGTCCCGTTGTGGTAATTAGTATGTAACTTTGAAGTGGTGGAACATAGTTAAAAAAATTGTAATCCTTAATTGTTAATTATTGTCTGAAATATTCGGTTGACCATGTTTATATTATCATAGTTTTAGAAAGTTTTCTTTGGAGGGCCTTTTTATTGATACGTCCAAAATTAAATTTTATTTGAGGGTTTTACCATGCTTATTTGGCTGTATCCTTTTAAGTTGTGTAGTTTGCAAATATCTGAAATCAAAGTTTTGGTCTCGTGAAAAATCTTGAGCATCGAAAACATTCGGATTTTGGAAGTAGAACAATTTTAATGATAATGATAACTTATTGGGTAGCCACGTATGAGTATATTGTAAAGAAAAATACAACAAGAATTACAAATAGTATGGTTTAAAGAGTCTAATGCAGATTCTGGTTAAGTGATTCTTCCGATTAAATTATAAAGAAATATATTGTCAATATAATGTTTCATCTGTCACTTAAAAAATTACGACTCGTTTAGAATATTAAATGGAAACGAGTATTAATCCGAAAGTCAATTTTTGGATACATACAATACATAACAAAATTTGGAAGAACTTTTTCTTGCTTCAAAGATATTTGACAAATTTTGCAAATAATGAAGCTTTCAAACAGTAGAAGGATCGGTTTATCGAACATTTTTACGAGATTCGTGTAATAGAGAATCTGCTACACTTTTTAGGGGCACCCTGTATAACTGGAAAAGCGTTCCTTATGGAATTTTATTACGGGGCTGATGATTGCAAACGCAGATGCTGAGAAAGTCTCGGACAAGGGCTTACGAAAGATTAAATATTTTTACTACTTTTGCTCGCTTCACACCCCCTCATAAACTCGAAGCACAGTCGCGCTGGTGCTCGAAATTTTACACCCTAACGCCTTAATGTCCTTTAATTACTTTCGGCAATCCAATATTTTTCATAGAGTCGTCCTTCCCTGGAATCCTGCTTCTCCGCGCCTTGTTCCCTTCGCGACAGAGTATTTTGCGATTCGGCTCGCTCCACTTAATTTAACCTTTGGAAATAACGATCTACGAACGCGTTTCGTACGCGGAAAGAAAACAAGAAGGTCTCGCTTAAAATCGCGAGAAACTCCGCGAACGGATTCGTAGGTAAATCTGAAAGAATTGGATTAAAGTGCAGGCTCTGAGGTTTAATATTCCATTAATGAAACTGCGGAAAAAATTTATTCAATTTCCGTACGGTCTCGAAGTTTTAAACGATTGGGCGCGATTTGCTTCGAGGCGAAGCCACCGTTTGGAAAAAAAAGCATCGCCGAGGAAAATGGGTCAAGATTTAAAAACTGGGGCTTCGAACTTTCAAAATACTTTTCCTTTTAATCGTTATACTGCGCTTTTCGCAAAATTACGGAACTTCGAAATTCGCTATTTTCCAACCCCGGTTAAAGTTCTTTAATTTCGTCGAGGGATTCAATTTCTGGAGACTTTCAAGGCTTTCAGGGATCCCATATTTCCGGTGATATATGATACGAAGCAAACATTGAATTGTTTGTATCAAATGCTAATGTAGGGTAATTCAATATTTTATATCTGCCAATATATGTGAAACAACCAATTCTCCTAGATTAATGTTTCATTGTCACAGAGAAATTCATTATTAAATTTACTGTTCAATCTAACGATCAGTCTGGATATTTAACTTGCATATAAAGCTCCTTACTCCTTAGTGGGAGAAGGAAATAATATCAAAATCAGATTTCACCCCTCGAAAAACTCCAAAACCGTTCGTTCATAACGAACAGTGTATAAACAATAACGCAATTAATTTAGGAGTTTTTAAAATATAAAAGTGACAAAGGGCAATTTGCGCGGACACATTTGGTCTACGCCCTTAGTTTCGATTTTCCATCGCAATTTATCGCTCTAGCTCTGCAAATTTGGTCGATAACGCGTTAAATGCCCAGCTAATTTTGTTTCATTTTCCACTTAGGCGGCCTGCAAACACAGAAAATGCATTTGTTTTTAACGAACGACAACAGGCGGAAAACCTCATTTTTGTTTAAAATGCTTCGATAAAATCCATTAAGGACGTGTATACATATTTGTTAGTATCGTACAAATTTTAAAGTGCCATTTTTTAAATTTGATAAATTTGGTACTCGAGCCCACAGTGGACCACAATTGAATTTTACCAGATTCTAAACTCAACGCAAAACTTTGTAATTCTTGAACTAGTCGATTTTATTATTTTGCAGTTCTATTAAGAATAAATTTATATAATTATATTTCTATTTAAGTTTATTGGGATATTTTTGTAGATATGGATAATGTTAAATTTTTAAATGGAACCTTATTTTCTTTGTTTAAATAGTCTTTGAAACATCGGACGTTTCTACATTTTGCATTAGATTGTATGAATTTTTAGAAAAATCACCGCCAAACCATATCTCTATCTAAATTATATTACGATAATGTTAAATTTTCAAATGGAGCCTCATTTTCTTTGTTTAGATAGTCTTTCTACATTTTGCATTAGATTGTATGTATTTTTAGAAAACACACCACCAATAAATAATGACAAATCTCTATCTAAACCATATTTAACACTTTGACTGCCACGTCATCCACATATAAGAGACAGAATTTACCACTATGATATTAGAAAAATTAATTTTCAAGTTAAGACGTCGAGGGAAATAAATTTAGATGGAATTTGTGAATTTTAACAAGGTTACGAAAATGAATACTGAAACAAATTTTAGGTTATGTAGCTTACAATGGTGTACATTCAAAATTTTAATCTTGCAGAATATTATACAGTTTTCATGTGGCAGTGAACGTGTTAATGGAGGCTACAAATTAGCATTACATAGCTTAACGTCGTTTCCAAAAACAGTCAGGAAACATAAATCCATCATAAAACGTGCAAACGCTTGAAAGAATTGCAATTTGATTAATTTCCTCGTCGCGAAAGATAATGAGACCACGCAAAATTAATGTAGCTTGCGACACTTGGAAGATTGAATATTTCGCGAATCAGGAATCTTCTAAAAAATTTCATATCTCGATAGAAAATTGAACGAGCCTCTAATTATACCTCGC